CTCTCTCTCTCTCTCTCTCTCTCTCTCTCTCTCTCTCTCTCTCTCTCTCTCTGTCTCTCTCCTTGTTTGCATTGGGAGCAGCAGGAGGTTATCAGGGAGATTGGAAAATGGCAGCTTGGGCACTCTGCTTTCACTCAATACCCGAATGCCCTAACAACTCCCACGTACTTGTCTTTTCAGCTTTTTCAAAGGGATGAAGGGGATTGATATCCTTAATCTGCCCAAATCTTCAGGACTTGTTCCTCCTGATGCTCCTTGTAATTTCTTGAATTTGAACTGGCTCAAGCCATTGGGATCAAGTTGAATTAATTTTATTAAGTACAACCTTGATGATTTCCAAGGGCCTTTTAATAGGAGGCAGGGATAATAAGTTGAACATCAGGTGTGAACTTTGGAAGCTGGTTTCTCTAATCCAGCCTCTGCTCTTGGGAAGGACTTCCATACAGTTGACTAAACTATTCTGATACGTATTTCAAATATAGCTATGTAACCCTATGCCTGAAGGCATTATCACTTAGGGAAAGATTTTCAACTTGTAAAACTGATGCCAGTTATTCATGTTTCGTCTTTAATGAAAGTGATGAATCTTATATCAACCTTCTAGCTTAAAATTGCATGTGTAATGTAAAAGAAGGGAAGGTACATAAGCTGTGATGTCAGGCAGACCTGAATTGAAATCCTGGCTTCACTTCTTACTGACTGTGTAACCTTGGACAAGTCACATAACCTCTCTGAATCCCTCTTTCTTCAACTCCAAAGTGGAGATGCAATGCCCATGTCAGCAGGTATTATAAGAATTGAATGAAATGGTAGACATGAACATGGCTGGCATACCTTATGTGTTTAATAATTGGTGTTATTGCCTTATGGGTTATTTTTGGAGATGCCCTGAATACAAGTCATTATTTGTATCGATCCTGCTGCTCACATAGCAGGTGACGTCAGCAAGGGGAGTTCATTACAGTCAAGGAAGTCTATAGAAACCTAGTTACAGCCTGAAGATTGGACTGAGATCCAGGAGATGGAATTGTTTTTGCAACCTAAGATTACTTCAGTGAAAAAGATTAATGAGTCACATTATACAAATGGCTCAAGCTAATGACAAATGAAAATGTTCTGGTTTTAAAGCTAGAGTTGATTTAATAATATTTGTGCAATAGCAATATTAAATTCAAAGTCCCTTCTAGCAACTTGGGCTTTACCCAGAACTTTCCTCTCAGAGTTAAGGTCATTCCACATGAAGTCACCATCTACCTGAATGCTCTGATATAGATATTGAGGTGACTGAAGATTTCATCCTTCTCTTTCTATGCATTCAATTATCTGGGAGAATCATGGATTAAACCAGAATCAGACATTAAATTAATTTAATTGACCTGAGTTTATCTGATTATCCCTAGCAGAGAGTAAAGTCTTGAGGTAAATGGTTTTAGGGAAGAAGTCAGGGTTGGAGACCATGAGCTAGGGCCTTCAGAAGGGAGGGTCAGGCAGCTACTGATGAGCTAGAGCTGCCAGGACACTCTGCTATGTTCCATTGGCCTGAGATTAATTATGCCTTATGACATTTACTGTTTTTATATTTATGTCATTTGCATTACCTTATATTATCCTGAAAGGAAAGGAGTTCTCCTTTCATCTCTCCAATTTCCCTCAGACTGCCTGTTTTACATCTCACAAGTATCTAATAGACATCTTCTTTGTACCTCTACATAGTGAATAAATGCCTATTGAAGGAAAAGGCATTGAAGAAAATCTTGACTTTTTTTTTTTTAACCCCAGGGCTGAACTTCATAATTCTATTTCCACTTGTTGCTTCATAAAACTACACTTTTGTGAAATCCTTTCTTTTTTCTTCCCAGGGTTGAGTATATCTTCTGTTTTCTTTTGCTCTTCAGGGACATCACCTCTGAGACACCTGAACAGCTTCAGCTCTCTATGAAATACGTGGTTGTCTTCACTTCATCCATCTCCCCGACTTCCTGGCAACCCACTGACTATGCTCAGAGCAACCGGAAGAAATGCATCATTTCACACAAACACCATATGGCAGGAAGCAGCCAGAGATCACGGTGATAAGTTCAAATGGCAATGTAAGAATTAATCTATTCACTAATAAAGGCAAACAAATGTTATTGAACACACCAAATCTATATGAATACTGGAAATAGGGGGTTAATAAACTTAAATACCCCAGGGGACTACTTTGATGGCTAAAATTTTGTCATCACAATTTTTTTCCAATTTACTCTGACACATTGGAATAATTTTACATGATGGAAAAGTTCATTCAATGTTTCTTTTATTGGATTAGAAAGTTTCATTCTCTGTTTTCCCCAAGGACAGAACAATGTACTCAGATTATTTTATGATTTATATTTTTATTTTGAGATGGCTATAGATTTATATGCAGTTGTAAGAAATAATAGAGAGGTCCCATGTTCCTTTTAGCAAGTTTCACCAATAATAAGTTTCAAAAAAACTGTAATGCAGTATAACAACAGAGTATTGACATGGACATGGTCAAGATACATTTCCATCACCACTAGTATCTCCCATGTTGCCCTTTAATCTCTGCCAGCTTCTCTCCTGTCCATTACCTTTAACCTTCTTAATTCCTGAAAACCCATCTCTCCTCCATTCCTATAACTTTGTCATTTCAAGAATAGGATCACATAGTCTGTCACCTTTTTAGAGTTAGCATAATTTTATGCACATGTTTCCAGGCTGTTGAATGAATTAATAGTTCATTTTTTATTATTACTACGATGTGGATATAGTATAGTTTATTTAACTATTCACCCATTTCTACTTTTTGCCTATTATAAATAAAACTCCTATAAATATTGGTGTATAGTTTTAGGGTAAACATAAATCTTCATTTCTCTGGGATACTCAGGAATGTGCTTGTTCTGCTGCATGATATTTGCATGTTATGTTTAGTTTTTTTTTTTAAATTGCTAAACTATCTTTAAGAATGGCTGTGCCATATCACTTTTCCACAATCAACGTATGAATGATCAGTTTCCTAACTTTCTTGGCAGCATTTGGTTTCATTATTTTTTATTTTAGTCATTCAGCTATATATGCAGGAGCTATAGTTTGGATCTGAAATGTCCTATAAAGGCTCATGTGTTTGAGGATTTGTTCCCCATGTGGCACTATTGGGAGATACTGGAATTTGAAGACATGGGGCCTAGTGGGAAGTCTTCCAGTCATTGAGGGTATGCCATTCAAGTGGGTAACCAAATCCTGACTCTTCCTTTTTTTTTTTTGTGCCAACCATGAAGTGATCAGTCTTCCTCCATGATGTGCTGCCTCATCACAGGCCCCAAAGCAACAGGACTAACTGGTCATGGACTGAAATCTCCAAACCTGCGAGCCAAGCTAAACCTTTTTTGCTCTACAAGTCAAATTATCTCATGTATTTGTTACAGTAACAGAAAGCTGGCTAACCTAATAGCAGGGATTGCTTTGTGGTTTTATTTTATATTTCTCTAATGGTTAATGATGTCAAACAACTTTTCATGTGTTTATTTGCCATTTCTCTATCTTCTTTGGGTGAAATGGAAATGTCTATGCCCATGTTCTAATTAGATTGTTTGCTGAGTTTTGAGAGTTCTTTATGCTACATATTAACCCTTTATCAAACATGTGGTTTGCAAATATTTGTTACCCATCTGTAGTTTATGTTTTCATCTTCTTAGTAGGGTCTTCTGCAGATCCAAAGTTTCTAATTTTTATTGAGGTCCAATTTATCAACCTTTACATTATGGATGATGTTTTAGATGTTAAATTTAAAAATTATTTACCTAGATCCTAAGAAATTTCATTCATTTTTTTAAAATTAGAGTTTTCCATTATACTTTTACATTTTAATAATTTTTTTTGTGTAAAGTGTGAGATACCTTAAGTTTTATTATTATTATAATTTGTCTGTAGATTCCCAATTGCCCCAACACCATTTATTAAAAAGACCATCTTTTTCCTTTTTTGGGGGGATGGGGTGGGGAGGTACCAGGGATTGAACTCAGGGGCACTCAACCACTGAGCCACATCCCCAGCCCTACTTTATATTTTATTTAGAGACAGGGTCTCACTGGGTTGCCTAGTGCCTTGCTTTTGTTGAGGCTGGCTTTGAACTTGTGATCCTCCTGCCTCAGCCTCCTGAGCTGCTGGAATTATAAGCGTGTGCTACCATGCCTAGCTCATCTTTTTCCATTGAATCACTTTTATACCTTTATCAGAAAATAGTTGGACCTATTTGTGTGGTTCTCTTTTGAGTTCTCTATTCTGTTCCATTGATCCACGTGTCTGATCCTTTACCACTACTTCACAGTTTTGACTCCTATAGCACTATAGTGTGTTTTGTCATTCTTCATTATTCTTTTTCAAACTTGTTTTAGCTATTACAGTTTATTTGCCTTTTCACTTAAATTTTGGCATATACTTTTCTATGTTTGTGCCAATGTCTCGGCTTGGCACTGAATCACGAGCCACCACACACCTTGTAGATTCAAACAGCAATTCTTTATTCCC